CCCCATCTGATCCCACCACACCGAGGCAAAATACTAAAGGCGTGCAACAGAACAGCAAGGGGAACAGAGCAACTAAGTTCCTAGGGAATACCAAAAATAGACTTTGGGGCCACAGCTTGGCGCCCTGTCAGACTTGACCAGAAAACACTCCTAAAGGCCAACAAACAGTCTTTGAACTAACTACCCCCCCCAAAAAAAAGAAAGTTGGAGGGCAGAGGCCTGTCTGAGCTTTGCCTCACAGAAATCACCCTTGGGCAGATGTAGAGTTAGACTCTCCTTCCCCTTTGTGTGGCTGGAAGAGGTCAGCCATGGGCCCTATGTCACTTCCTTAGTTAGCACTTACAGTTAATAGCTGTGTAACTTACAGGCTTATGGTGATAAATCTCTAATTTCTCACTAAATCTTTCCAACTGTGCTATTAGGGTATGGGACTGGTTGGGGGACGGGGTGGGTAGGGGGTAGAGACTCATTTTTCCCCCAGCAGGCCACCAACAAATGCAGGCACTCAGAGACCAAGAAGTAGGAAGTGGTGCCCTGGGCAGCTGTCCCCTGCCCTCTGCCCTTGGCCACTTCTCCACCCTGTCTCACGCAAAACCAGAGTAAGGTGGCTGTCTAAAACAAAATGTCGCCATGTCTTCACAACACTAGACCGCTTTCCTCCTGGTCCAGTCACTTGGCTCGGATGTTGTTTCTCACAGTGCCCTGCCTGCCTTCGGCTGTGGCTGCGAGAGGGCCAGGGAAGGCTGGATGCTGGGTGTCTTGGAGGGTCAGGAAGCAAATCTCCTCCTGTCGCTTTCTTCTTCCCTGACTGCTAACTCGCTTAGCAGGACAGTAACACTTACTGCTGAAATCTGAAGACAGGACTGAAAACGCACTGGCTTCCCTTCGGTAACTTCTACATGCTTCCCAGACCAGACAGCCCTTCCTCTTAGGTACTTACTTACCTTCTGGCCTTTGGAGTGGCTGTAAAAATCATCTGGCCAGACATCCTTCCCAAACATGACGTCATCATTTAGGTAGATAAATTTCTGTGACAGCCCTTCAATGCGATGAATGTGGCTTTCAATGGCAGGTGAGCTGAAGGTGGGCAAGTGGCTCAAATTCTGAAACACATCCTTTTAACGAGAGAGAGAAACAGAGCGAACACGTGAGGTGCTTTTGGTTTGCTCTCCGAAGGAAGGAATGGATGAGAAAGGAAGCGGGAAAGAAAGGACCTGGAGGGAAGGAAGGCAGGGGAAATGGATGAAAGATCTCCCTGAACCACAATCCAAGAGTGGAAAGGGGACCACGGCCTTGCCACACTTATAAAGTCGTGTACCTGGTGTGTTACTATCGTTACTCGAGGATTATCCAGGTTCAGCCACGATGGGATCTGTCCATTTGTAACAATGAAAATATTCCGAACCCACGGTGCATGCCTCTCGATAGATCGCAGGGAGTATCTTAGCTCTTCGTTATCTTCAAAGCGGCTGGCAGACACATCTTCGTCCTGCTTCGACTGAGAAAAGCATTCAGGTATCAAGTAAAACATTCCTTAGGCCAAACCTCCTCCTCTTCCTGTTTCCCCTCTGTGCTCTCTACTTGCAGGGGCCTTGGGGGCTTTGTTGTTCAGTGTATGCCCAGTGGACCACACATCAATTCGATGACTTCTATACGCACAGTTCAGTGTCCACGATAATGATCACATTCTTCACCTTGAGCTCTGGCAGACTTCTATGGACTGAGTCCTACTTGGACAAAGAATGGGAAGGATTCCACACATTTGTGTGTGTTTGTGAGGGGGAATCATAGACACAGCTGTCTTTAGTACACCGTAGAAACGGCTCTTGGACTCCTGAATTCTGTAGCTTGGCTAATGCAGGTATATTCTCTGACTTGAATTAGATACGACAAGCCACACTAAGGTCATCTTTTCTTTTTTGGCTTGGGGCTGGGGGCATCTTGTCATTAGTGATATATGCTACATACAATATTAAAATATATCTGTAAATTCATATGTAATATTTGCAACACCCAAAGAGAAATAAAGGTTGAATTTGTAAAGTTATTGACAAGGGACACAAAGAATGAAAACTAAAAAGAGCGGTTCGACTTATGTCAGATCAACTTTGGATGGAGTCTTCCCAAGGGAACCGCGCAGTAAGTCAGGGACTCCCTGGACTCAGAAACCAGTGGCTGGGAAGTTGGACGAGTTCCACTCTGCTCACCCCAGCACAGTTCTTCTTCTCCCTCATCCTGTGACTCCGCCATATTCAACATCCTCTGCTGCCCTCACCTGGCTGATGGCACTCAGGTCCCATAATAAATAGGCCGGACTTATGGTCAGCTCCTTTCCATCGATGGTCATGTTCTTCTTCGTCTGTTTGTTCAGTTCTTGGAAACCCTTGGGGTTATTCAATTTCAGAAGCGCTACGCTTGCCTCGGAATATAACTGCAACTATAACATAACGTGAGGGTTACAGAGAGAAAACCTGAGCCCCCCAACGGGGTGAAAGGAAACAAACAGTGCACTAAACCCATTGCGTTAAGTCGATCTGCGGTTGTGGTTCCCCCCACCCAGGCCCCGGCCCCCCCTCGGGGAACAGTGCAGAACGGCTCCTGGGAGTTTTCTGGGCTTCAGACTGCCAGGCTTCTCTTCAGGGGGGACTCAGAACAGGTTTGAACTGCTTTTAGGCTCGTGGCTGAGTGAGTGCAAACTGCTTGTGCCACCCTGGGACCCCCTTCGGGGAAGAGGTGTCATTAAATTCCCAGTTTGATCTTTGATCTCTAAGTAAGTTTATATAAATATATAAAAACACAAACTCACTGCCATCAAGTCAATCCCAACTCATCGTGACCCTATAGAACAGGGTAGAACTGCCCCTGTGAGTTGCCGAGACTGTAATTCTTTTCTTTTTTTAAAAAATAAATCATTTTATTGGGGGCTCTTATAACATTCCATATGTCAATTGATCAATTGTATTAAACACATTTGTACATATGTTGTCGTCATCATTCTCAAAACATTTTCTTTCTACTCGAGCCCTGTCCCAGGTGGTAAGTGCCTAAGTGGAAGATAACTCAGATTTGCATGGTCAAAACCTGGCTGGGTTCTGTCATTCGTCGATATTGTACAGCTGGCTGGCCTGAGATGGATGAGGAGTGGGCAGGCAGGGAAGCTCAACTACCAATACAGTGAGGTGGGTACGTGGGCAGCAGGCTCACTTGGTGGGCGGCCAAGGTCAAGGAAGGCTTGCTAGAGGTAGAGTTAGCTGAGTTGAGCTCTAGAAGTAGACCCTGGAAGAGACAAGGCCTTAGCAGTGCCAGGGCATGTGCTACAGGCAAGTCGGAGATAGCTCAGCATGTTTAGAACAACAAATAATTGAGGATGTCTCTGATCGAGCTTTGAATGAGAAGATCCCCAAATTGGCTGAAGAGCAAAGCAGGGGCCGGGCTTGCTGGACCACGTTTCACTCTCCTGCTGATAGGTTCCTGAACTATTACATAAACAAAAAAGGATTGCTGCAAATTCCCATTTGCAGACAAAGCAAACAAAATACAACTTTGTTCTAATACTAGTCATTAGGGTATCAATAAAATAAAATAAATACCTCTCAAGGTGTGATTGATACATGAAGGAAAATGGCAAAAAGAAAAGTATAGCAAGACATTTTAGAAATTGTGACAGGGACTTCTAAGTTCTTAAAAAAAAGATTTAGATATTTGTAGCGTTGTTTTTAATGATCTCTATTGCAATTTCATAACTTTTCAAGTAAAGGGGAGGATTGCTAAGCCTATTATTCTTATACTGGCATTCATTTATAAGGCTGGTTTGTAATCTTAAATGCAATAAAGAGAAATTTTTCTAAGACAAATAACTGGAAGAGAGATGCAAAGAAGTTTAGAGGTTTAAGATTTTCTGCCACTCTCATCAAGCAATGATGGGGAGGAATACCATCTACTAGCCACTAGATGGCACCACTAACCCTGGGCCTCATTATTACTTTTACATGAAGAAGTGGTTTGGGGGCACTGCATGGGGCAGAAATCATTGGATGCTTATTTTGATTGGCATTCTGAAGCTTCTAAAATATGTCCTTGAAGGAAATGGTTTAAAAACCCACTGGAAGTGAACAAACTCCTTAAGGAAGCGATAGCTCTCCCCAAAGGGATCCTGGTCCTTCTGCTCCTCTGTAGCCAACATTACTTTGACGAGAACGATTGACAGAAAGATTATGAGGGGATGATTCACTAAGGTGTAATATAGCACCGACAAATCACACATCATTCCTCTAGTTCCTGAATGCTTCCACACCCCACTATCATGACCCAGCTCTACCTTACAAATCTGGCTAGACCAGAGAACACACACTGGTACAGATAAGAGCTTTCAACCACATGGGGTTCAGGACAGATGAACCCCTCAGGCACAGTAGTGGGAGTAGTGAGATCATGAGGCTAGGGGGATAGTCAGGGAAGGGGGAGGAAGGGGGAACCCCTCACAAGGTTGGATATATAGCTCCCTTCCCCAAAAGGGGCAAATAACAGAAATGTGGGTGAAGGGAGCCAACGGACAGTGTAAGATACGAAATAATAATAACAATATATAATGATCAAAGACTCACATGGGTGAGAGGTGGGGGAGGGTGGGGAAAAAAGAGGAACTTATACCAAGGGCTCAAGTAGAAAATGCTTTGGAAATGATGTTGGCAACATGTACAGATAAGCTTGGTACATACAAGTGATGTATGGAATGTTATAAAGGCTGTAAGTGCCCCCAATAAAATGACTTAAAAAAAAAAAGCTGCACTGAAGCCTTGGACAAGTGAAGTTCCCAGTGACCTCTGCCAAGGATGACCCAAAGCACCCAACAGCTAAGGCGCTAAACCAGCAGTTCTCAACTGTGCGTCGCGACCCTTTGGGGGCCGAAAGACCCTTTCACAGGGATCGCCCAATTCAGAACAGTAGCAAAATGACAGTTATAAAGTAGCAACAAAAAGAATGTTGTGGTTGGGGGTCACCACAACATGAGGACCTGTGTGAAAGGGTCGCAGCATGAGGATAGAACCACGTGTTCTATTTGAAGAAGTTGAAAAAAGGCTGTCCTGCCTTTTCCTTTCTTCTCTCCTGAGGACAGAGTAGAACTGCCCCTGTGGCTCTAGGGTTGTAAATCTTCACAGGAGTAGAAAGCCTCATCATTCTCCCTTGGAGGGGCTGGTGGTTTTGAACTGATGGTCTCACAGTCCAAATCAACAGGTCGGTCAGAATCGACTCCATGGCAGTGAATGAGTACGGGTTTTCTCTTCTCTTTCTTCGGGCCTCAATGAAAGAAACCTCTTTGTCGCTGTGTTTTACTCTGCTAACTCCTCAATATCCTCCTTGGAAAGCAATGGTTCTATTCAATGGGTTTATGTGTTTTCAGCCATTAAGTTGGACAAATTGCTGGATCTTCTGGCCTGGTGGGTCTCCCCACTGCAAAGGCAAAATTGGGTCTCTCTTGCACTACATTTATTCACAATTCTAGATAATTCTTACTTGTAGCCCAGACATATGCTGAATGAGCCTGGGTGAAGGATATACTTTCTCTGTAAACCATACCATAGTCGAGTAAAATGCTCCTAGAAACAGCAATAGCAGACACGCTGGTCCGGTCCAGCAGTTACTGAACAAATTTGTACGGCCATCGTCCCTCATTACTCGAAAGAGCAGAATTACACCAAACAACAGCTTCTTTATTTTTAAAATTTTATTATCTGTGGGGGGAGGTCAGATGCACAGGCATTTCACCCCCACCCACCCCCACCCCCGCCCCCCTGAGGGCAATCAAACTGCAGTGAGCCCAGCTCCCTGCCTCTGGGAACAATGGACAGGCTCCTGTAGGCGGAGTTTACACCCTACTGATAATGGTTCCTTTGGAGATCCAGGGAACAGGTCAAAGTTAAGCTGTCATCCTAAATCTAGGATCCACCCATCTTGTAACATGTATACCCCCAATCCCTCCTCTTCCTATTGCGTGTATGTCCCTACACCACCCCCTCTTATTGCTGTATAACCTATAGTGCAACCCCCTTCCTGCGATGTATGTCTTTACCTGTAATTAGTGGGCTGGCACGTCCCCTAAAAGGTATAGGCCTGGGTCAGCAATATAGATGGCTCTCTGACCTCGCTCTCTGGCTCCCTTCTCTTCCCCCACTCCTCTCCTGTCCTCTCTCCCTTCTTTCCTTCCCCCTCTCTCCACGTGGACCACCAAGCTGGGCTGAGGTGAGCAATGCTACCATGTAATGTGTCTGACTACGTTATTGTAATATCTCTCATGCTCTCGATAACTTTAATATAATACTTATATATCTCAACCGTACAATTGTGCTTACTGAACCCGTGGGTAGTAGTAGCAGTGGGGGCTAGCCCCTCACACCTCCCCTCCAAATCTAACTTAATACTACAATTATCAAGTGGGAGTTAATACATTTATCATTCCATAGTTTAATCACATCCAGCAAAATTGTACAATTGCTACCACAATCAGTTTCCAAACATTCTTTTTTTTCCTGGACTCCTTGATGTCGTCTCCTTTTAATACCCCCCCCCCAAACAACCACACACACAAACAAAAATCCATTATTCTATTTGCTGTCCCCTATACGTTCATCATCAAGCCTGGGTTTCACATACCAAAACACAGAAAAACAACTTCATGAGGGTGACTTCCAATGACGTAACACCTGAGATACACCTGATTATAAAAAATAAAACAAAAAATAGAGAGAATGTCGAAAACCAGATCAGGTCCAGCATGCATCAGAGGGGAGTCAATTGACAAAGTTTTAACTAAACAACAGCTTCTAGATAAGCGTCTGTAAGGTGGAAAGGGTACCTCCAACTGCTTGTCCCCGCACATGAGTTTCACTGGTGTGGTACTGACTGCCTAGCATATTCTGATTACTTCTCAATGGCAACAACGAATCTGTAATTCAAACCCCTGGCCTTGCTGCCCTCCTGGATGGTTAGAAAAGTGTGCCGTAGGGTTTATGTGGGCTCCAGGCCATGTCCTGTGCACCTCAGGGCTTGCTACAGACACCCCTTCCTTTGAGCCAGGTGGATCCATTCTGCTTTTCACTGCGACCCGTTTGGATACTGTATTTGCCCCCTCTATAGGGATTAGAGCATAGGTTCTCAAACTGATTTAGGCAACCTCCCTCTTTTCAATTAAAACCATTTGGACTACAGCCTATAATCTAGGATAAAGTGTAGGTAGCGGCAGCCCCCAGGAACATCTCAGTGGCCACCCCCCAGGAGGTTAGAAAATGTTATAAAACCCACTGCCATTGCAGCAATGCCAACTCATAGCGCCCCTACACAATAGGGTAGAACTGCTCCTGTGAGCTTGAGACTGTAACTCTTTACAGGAGTAGAACGCCCATCTTTTCCCTTCGGAGTGGATAGTGGTTTTGAACTGAG